TCCAGGAGTTCTGTCTTCCGCGGAGCTTCCATAGTAAGAAGTAAATGGGCAAATTAGTTATTAACTTAGACTATAGAATTCTATCTTTTTTTACGGGAGGGAGTCGGTTCGGAGGCTTAACCAGTCCAAATTGAATTTTTCGTCGTCGCGGAAGTTTCTCGGGGATACCATTTACCGGAGCAAAATGGTATCCCAGCACAATATCCATGGAATACGGCGAATTAATGGGAATTCATTGTCTCTACCATCTTAAGCCGCGTCAATAGAATTTTGTTCAACTTGTTGCTCGATGAGAAACTGTTTCTACCGAGAAATAACGACGAGCGATCATTTGATCGTTTCTCGACCAGGGAAGGAAACCTCAACAGGGACTTTTGTTGTATTTTTGAGTAGTAAGGACTTTTTCAATGTAAACAATGGAAAACCAATAACGAAATATGTTTGTTTGTCGAGCAACTAAAGAATTACTAGTGAATTCGGGGTTGGCGGAATAAAGTATGTGGCGCGATTGCTCGACAGACGACGTTGAATGGAGGAAAACATGTTGGCCTACGACAAGCAACGTTAGTCGTGTACACGTATAGAGAATTAATTGTCTATAAGTGAGAGGTACCGAAGAGGCTTTCTATTCCGCAATATCCTTGCCAGGGAGCGAGTAATACGATCAACAGCCAAGTCCCCTTGCCGACGGAAATATCGAGATGGCGGCACAGCCAACGGATATTGGCGCGATGATAGGCCAGATTGAGAGGAACTTTGTTATCTGGATTACTTAGGGGAGTAGAAAAACATGGCGTTGTTCCCCGATCCACGTTGCGCCATCTACATCTATACGTACGCGTACTACGTCTACCAACTTACGATCCCCAGGAATTTAAGGATAAACGAGAAAACTTGGTTCCTCGACCCTCCCAATATCTCGAGCCTTTCCAAATTTCGGCTCATATTGGCCAATCCTGTGCACTTTTTCTCTCTCCAATAGATACATTCTGGAGATGGAATCTTTTCTTTGGACAAAGTTCATTCGATATTCGATACTCGATACTCCACTCTACCCGTAAACGGTCGAATATTCTTCGATTCGATGATAAATCTAACCGCTTTGGCGGATCAACTGCGAAACAAGAGCTAGACTGGATCGGAACAAGTGAAACGAAGAGTATAGGAAAGGAAACGAGCAGCTTAAATCGAAGGAGTACCGACAAATCACCTTTAACCGTTGGCTATTCGTTCGTTGATAAATCATTGGTCCGGGACGAGCAGGTGTGCCACGGACAAAAAATGTTTCCACTCGCACGATTGTAGTCGGTGAACTTCCACCTTTATTGTTTCGACTTTCCGGCGTTTCGAGCAACAGCTAAAGAAAGAAAGAAAGTAAAAGAGGGGTGGCGACCGACTCAATTACAGTTGCTGAACGACGCGATAATTGGGATCAAGATTGATTGTCTTCCTTCCTGCTGCTCTGACCTTTATCCAGTGAAGAGAATTGCTGCCGTTTCTTTCTTCTCTACCCTGATGTCTATCTGGGAGATGTGCGAACGATCACGGCGCTCGGACGAATCCTGGCATTAATATTAATTCGTTGCGTGGCCATACGGAAATCGAAACTTTTTGAAACGTTTGTTTCTTACGCGAAGAAAGAAGGGTGATTCCGAGATCGTATTTAAAGACCAACAAAATCCGTTGGATTAATATCCACCTCGTGTGAAACAGACTGTAGAGGTAACTCCTAGAGGAGCTATTAGAGATAGAGAGAGCGAAGAAAAGGGGCGAGGGACGCTCGGTTTATGACGACAAGAGGTCGATTCGCCTCTTTCACCTCGATAAAGCTCTAACATCGAACGTGGCTGACGAACACGATCCTTCAAACTGGTTCCAACCAAGCTGTAAAACCTGCCTCGTATCACTTTTTTCGCTCTTTTCGCTCTTTTGCATGTCACATGTCCAACTCGGGGGGCGAAGGTAAAATACACCGATGACCGAATCGCAGGGAGAAGACGTAGGAAAGCGCACAGCCGTTGCAAGGGCTGCAGACCGGCTGAGCAAAATTACTAGGATTTGCGCGTAGATTTGCATATCGATTTTCTCGTTAGAACGGTGTCGTATGGCGCCAAGCGGCACACGATGTCCCTTAATTTCGTCGGGGGAAGTACCTACGACATTAGCCTCATGGTTACGTTTAAACACGGTTGTTTCACACCGACGCCAACCCGTCTCTTCATCTGTCGGCGAATTAGCTGTGTTAACTCGTGTAAGAATTAGCCGGATCGTGTACCCTAGCTGCAGCCGTTGGGCGACGATTCCAATCGAACCAGGTATAGTTTAGCGGATGTAGATATTTTCAAGCCTCCCCGAGAAACGATGCTACTAGGGGGTAGTAAAGTTAATGATAAACAGAGGTGCGCACTATCGTCGGGATGCAAATAACCGTAGTTCCGTGGAATTTAAGGCCACGTATATTTCAAACGGCGCCAACTGGCGAGCGTAGTATTAAAGTTGATTTAAAGGGCCTACTGATAAGAAACAGCATTCTCCGGGGAGCCATGCGAAACGTTTCCCTCTAATTTTAATGAAACTTTAATGATATTTAGAGGATCTCCGGAGACGTGGCTGCCTAGTATAAATCTCGCTTTCCAACAACATAATATCTCGTACATCCTTTTCAAGGTAATCATTCGGTCCGTCGGCTGGCCGAGTTTCGCCTCCGTGGTGATCTTAATTAAATCGTTCCATGGCCGCGATACTCGGTTCTCATCCCACTTTTAAGACGCCACTCGATTCTAACGAAAATCCGTGTTAACGGTCTCGAGCCGCGGATAGAATAACAACGCGTAATTGTTATCCCGTTTCAAATCCCTCCCTCGTCTTGCTCGATCAACGTGAGTCGATTAAGGTGGCCCGTTTGCTCGCGCAGCTCCTCGACGCGAACGTCGTTGGAAGCATTACGCGTCTGTCGATTCGAATCGCATTCATCCTTTCTCTTCGAGATACTCTACTGTTTTCGAATGATTAATAATCCGAGTGTTCCCCATTGTCCTGCTTCCGTGTCCTCGTTTCGCTTCTATAGAAAATAAGTCTCAGCTAATCTAACATTGTTCCAAAGGTTACTCGAATGATCTCGTTGCGCGTCTGGAAAAAATACTCGACTTTCTGTCGGAAGATTAAACGGACGTACATTGTACTGGCAGCAATTACTCGGGCAATTCGGAATTTCGCTGGAAATGCGATATTTTCGAATCGCGCGCGGAAATTTCGAGCGGAAATTTCGTCACCAGGAGCAATTACCGAAGCTTTCACGTTTCGTACGGCAAGTATCGAGGTTCGGTTGGGAGCGCATCAACGCCGCGGCGCTGGGGAGATAGTGACGTAAATAAGGGTACCGAGAGGGATGGAAGGCGACGGAAGAGGGAACAGCAGCGCGCAATTGTGCTCTCCTCAGTGGGTCGAAAGTTTCTCCCTAGTGGGTACACATTATTCCTCGAAACTCTCGAATGTGCTTAATTAGGCGATATTTGAGGAGGTATCCCTTCACCATCCTCTCGAGGTCGGCTGTGCGCTCGCAAGCTGCTATTATGGAAAGCCACTGGATTTCCGTAAGAAAGCATGCCTACCGGCTGCTGCTATCCCGTCTATCCTCTAGGCGTCTTACCTGAACTAATATTGTTAGGGTCTAATTAGTACCATCCTGACACCGTCCGATCTTGTTCTTCCATCCTCTTTCAAGGCTCCGCAGCCTGTTTCCTCTCGGTCCCGCGTCGGTTTCCCTTCCCTTTTACATCCGTGCAATTCGCCAGACGTTCGTTCGTTCGTTTCCTCTATCCCTTCGTCCGTTGCTTCCTTCCCTCCTTCCTTTCATCCGTCTTTCCGTCCATCCACCGTTCGCTTACACGCCGCTCGGCAACCATTCCTTGCATTCAACTGTTTGTTGCAAGTTACGCGTGCCCTTCGGTCGTTGCAGCAACGTCTTGTTCCAACAGCCGCTGGAACGACACAAGTGCCAGGCGGTGTCTCGAAAGATGAGACCCAGCGGACGCTCGGCGCGTTATTAGGGGCCACAAGGGTCACGAGTACTTGGATTATGGGGCAAATTTTGTGGATCGTTCAGTTTGCTAAGCAGCTTGTTCGCGACGAACATCCACTGCTTTGCTCCGTTCCGTGTCTTTCAGCTTGAAAATATCATTATCCACCGGTATTTCGAGTTCTCCCGAATTTGAAAGGCTGCTGTTACAGGTACCAATAAATAATACTCTTTTTATTAGCGGTTCCGAGAGAGCACTCGGGAAAAAGCTAGTGTTTCCCGACTGGATCGCGTAACTTTGAATCGCCGTACGAAAGCTCGCAAGAGAAGACCAGAAGGCAATTCCCGTTAGAGCTTATTAGAGCATCAAGCTCGCACAAGTAGCATGGAAATGCGATTAAACGCAACTTTAATTACAGGACCTTCGCCTGTTAACAATATTCTCGCGAACCGTCTCCGGTGTACGTGTGCACACAGACGCGCAGGCATTAGACGCGCCGCAATAGAAACAGGGCAAAGTCTTCAAAGTGTACGCGCAACCTATCTGCAATTTACCCGCGAGTGAAACTCACTCGCGTACAAGTGGTTTATAATACAGCTAATATCAGAAGGTCTACCACCTCCTCGTAACTCGGTCGTCGCAGCGAGCTTTAACGCGATTTAAGGATGCCGCGCGTCGTTACGTGCGCGTTCGCCGCGCAACCTTGGATAACAAGCCAAGAGAACGACCACTGAAACTGCGCGAACCATTTCTTTTCGCGTTTCTTGCGCGCTCGGAGACTATTGCCACAAAGTATTGCCCGTCTGCCTGTTTACCCATCGCAAACTTCAATGAGCCACGATGGTAAATACCTACTCGCTCGTTCCCTCGAATTTATAGCAATTACATTTCTCGCGCGAGTATCGAATTTCCTAGCAATCAAATGGAATTTACAGTTGAATTCTATTCGATCGTAACGAATCGCCGGTATTTCTGTTTCAGGGTCGATGTAACCGCGACAAGCCACCTTGCAAATATTTCCACCCACCACAGCACCTAAAGGACCAGCTTTTGATAAACGGCCGCAACCACTTGGCCTTGAAGAATGCGCTAATGCAACAAATGGGCCTGACACCGGCCCAGCCGCTCGTGCCTGGCCAGGTACCAACAGTGGTACGTCCCAACTTTAACGCATACTTGCACCATGTCTTCTGCTGTTCACACATCCACACATTTTGGTTTTCTTTTACCACGATCGACAAATTATTCATTTTGTCTGTGTTAGTCGACGATTACCACTAGACTACCCTTTACTGGTAGGCTACGCTGGGTAAATGGACGACGATCCGAATCTTTTCTTTTTTGTTATTTGCCATTTCTATAGATCGGAATTCCGGATAGATTCCGATGGATTCTTTCAAAATTCTATTGGTCGAAATCAAGGAAATTGTTGGTACAAACTCCGAGTGTGAATAACACGAGAGAAAGAGCAGAAAGTAGACAAGTAGAAGAGTAAAAAAGTAAACAAGTTGTACAAGTAAATTCGATTCGTAAATGACGATTACGGTGGAAATGCCACTGAGTAATTCAGGATTTTTCGAAAGCAACGAAGATGCGATTAAACATGCTCTCCGCGCGTCTGGTCGTCGTGTGCGTACAATCGAGAGAAAAAGGTTGCATTACTCATTGGCACAGCCGTGTATAGCGTAATGAATCAGGTTAAAGGTTGTAAATTTGCTTAAACGAGTACACGTTGTCGTCTCAATTCCCCAGCGTGTTGAAATCGCGGGCATTGCACCGAGAGATGAAACCTCCGCGAGTAAAATCTAGCACGCCGCATGTTTTTGGTCAGTGTCATCCCCTTTCTCCTGAATTGTATCCATAAATCTTGATAGACAGTCAATATCAATGAATTCATATAGAAAGAAACTGTAGCGTTACGTTAGTTTGCCTAGACTCGCCATGAAACGAAAAGTTTCGGGAAAATCGATGTTTGTCGGTTCGTCGATGTCGTTATTCGATCGGTATACTCTGTCGCATCGACGAACCGACAAAATGATGACGCGCCTATTGAAACGAGTAGTCGAACATCTATTATAATTTATCTCTCTATTGCGTGTTCGCATGCGGCCGCGGGTCGACATCGACGAACAGAGAAGAAAAAATTCGGTCGTGAGAAAATCAAGTCACATCATTTAAACGCCCACCTGCCTTTTATTCATGACATATATTCATAGTCGTTGCTACGTGACATCGAACCCTATACTACTCGTATGACTGCCTGTCTGTCCCCTATGTTTGCCGCTGTGGCTCTCGTGGTTGTGGTTGATTGTTGGTGTGTTCTCCAATTACGTCATTGGTGAACAGGAGGCACCGGCACCTCCGGCACCACACCATCACCTTCAACAGCAAATCCAGCAGCAACTTCTCGCTACCCACGCCTTTATGGTAACTCCTGGTTTTGGTTGGCTTCCACTAATTTTTTAGTTAAATTAAATCAAGCGTGGCGGTCACGGTCCTCGGAACCCGCTTTGTCTTTCGAAACGATAACTGTGTATCCAAAATGAAAATGCAAAATCAAAGTTATAACGAAACGAAAGGTAGTTGTAGCAGCTAAATGTTTCCCCTGTAAAGTAACGCGATCGTACTTTGTCTGAACACGAAACAAGTTCATGGAATAGTTTGCGAGTGATAATAACGCGTATGCCGTAAGTGGGAATTTGATGTACGATCAAACTGAAAACTGTTCGATGCAACCGTCTCCGCCACGCCACCTATAAACTAGTGTGCCTGTAAGTTTAGTAAGCGGTTGTACGAATGCTTCGACTTGTTTAAGAGAATACCGCACCGTAAATTAAAGAAACTTGACTTGCATGCCTCACGAGACGCTCCGTTTCAATATCCAAGGCGATAAATCGTCTAGTTCTCAAGTTTTCCTTCTTTTAGAGGAACAAAGCATGGAATTCTGCGGCCAAGTTCGAATCACGTCGGCTCTTTCTCTTCCGAACGCAAAACTGATTTCTCGCGTCGCATGTCTGTTTCGCGATTTCGTCCGGTCGATGAAACACGGTTCGGGAGCGAAGGATACGACTTGGGACTGCGCGCGAGTCACTCCGTCTTTCGAAAGAGAAATTATCTATCGTCCGATATTTCGATGTTTTCCGACTTGATCTCTGATCGGCGTGGCTCGCGCTTAGAAGCTTTTTCTATACGCCAAACAAAAGTTCGAAGCATCAAACCTTCCGTCCTTCGGTGAGAAGGAATAGGCGTTCAGCTCGTTCGGCCGCGCTTGAAATTACCTGCCTCCCCTTCTGGGAACCTCGTCCCCCACGAAACCGAACGCTTCTTACGGGAACACGCACGACGAGCAAAAGCGCCGTCTATTCTCTTCGGGAGTCTCGACTGGTTCTTTACTAATATTCTATCGTTCGTTATTTGCTGATATATGCGAGGGCATTACGCCTTTGAGTAATGCGAGTAAAGTAAATGGAACGTAAAGTAACAGCTCGGCGGACGTCTCGATAGAGAATTCGATCGGCACTCGCAGAATGTTGGTTCGAAAAGCTAACAAGCCGGGGAGTATCGATACACGATGCCTGTGCTGCTGTCCAAGCTTGATCGCGAGTACATATTCGGTTGGCCGTGCTCCGCCTCCGTTGTCGGGGGCACCAAGACGCTAAGCATGACCGCATCTAGTGCCATCTGCGTCGACGACCCCGTCTTTCACTACTCTATTGCTGTTCTCTGTTAGAAGCGCTCAGTGGAGGGAGCGTTTGGCGTGCGAGGGGCCTCACCCCTGTACAGGTTCGCGCTACGCGACACGGAATCGTTCCATCGGCGCGAGGACGGTTTCCCTTCCGATCGGACCGCGAGGACGCGGAAGGGAAAGCGTCGTCCCTGTCGGTGGTTCTGTCGCGTAGCGTGTGTCGCCCGGCGGGTCGCGAAACGAGAGCAAGTTCGAGGGCTAGCGTAACGAAAGGGCACTTATCGAAGACGACTCACGTGGAACGAAGACGGGGCCAGAGTTGTTCTAATCCGTGTTACCTGGATACTTTCCGGGTGTGTTTTCGCAGGCGACGAACCCGTACCTGACCAGTATGCCACAGGTTAGCAACACCTACAGCCCGTATTTCGCACCCAGCCCCATCATGCCGGCGATAATGGGGCCAGCGGACCCGACCGGAGTGGGAAGTCCTCTCGGCGTGGTGCCGCAGACAGTAGCGATGCCGCAGAAGATGCCACGTACCGATCGCCTCGAGGTATGTCTACCACCAAACTACATTCAACAACAACAACAACAGCAACAACAACAGTCACAACAACAGCATGGGGCCCAACAAGGCGCAGCCGGGGCCTCGAGGTGCCCGATGGCCGCGCCCAGTACCGTGTACCAAGTGCCGGCCGGTCCCCCCAATCAAGTGTCGCCCGTTTCCACGATGCAATCTGTCAATCATCCGCCATCCCCGACCACCATCACCACGACCTCCTTCTGTACTCCCTTGCACAACCCTCACGCCCACCATCATCCGATCCACAACCTGATCTATGTCCACGCGTATTATTGAAGTCGATCGTCGATCGGTGCTTTCTTTTTCTTTTCTTTTCTTTTCTTTTCTCTTTTCTTCTCTTCTCTTCTTTTTTCATTTTTCAGTTTTCATTTTCCATTCTCCATTTCTCATTTTTCATTTTTCGTTTACCATTTTTCAGTTTTCATTTTTCATTTTTCATCGTTCATTTTTTCATGTTTTACTTCTGCCGCAACTTCTTTCCGCCGTTCTTTCGACGGACCACCGTCCGACGTTAAGACTGGACGAGAGGAGACCATAAGGAGCTCGTTCGTTTCACGTTTTTACCAATCAGTCTAGACTTTGCGTAACGATAGTCTGCTGAATATTTCGCTACGAGGTTCCTAATCTTAGAAATCATTTCAAATTTGTATTCTCGTATCTATTCGCTACCATCCGAAACTTTTGGATCCCGGCTCTTCGATAGAGATTTCCTGTCGGGTTGTCTCGACAGCATTTATAAACAAGCAATCGGTAGCATCTTCTCGCGCCTCGCTTGTCGCGAACAAGGCGTTATTCGTCGAAGCGAGAACGTCGCGTGTTTTTGAAGCTCGTTCGAAACACTTGTTCTCCTCGGTGATATCGCCCCTTGTGCAACGGTTTTTATTGATTCCTTTGATATCACGTTATACGTACAGTGTGGCTTGAAAATAACGAACATCTTCCTTTACGTAAGATGAACGGAATGAACTCAAAGAAATGTCCAACTTTCCGATGGTAGTGCGATACGATGGTACTCGTTCGATCAGAAAGATAATAGCGTTATTCGAAAGAAATGTTCTGCCCTGTTTAAAATGAATCGTAAAGCGTTCGTCGGTAGGAAAAAAGGAACCAAAGTCGAGAAGTATTCGATAGTTTGTCATCGCTTAAGGTCGAGACCCTTTGATCGGACTATCCGAAAAGTCTAATCGACACCAGCCGTCTCTTCGCGAGTTTACTTGCCGCGCTGGAAACGTTCTTTTCGAGCAGTTTGAAGCAGTTTGACTGGTTGCGTCGATACGAATTACTTGGATTAAAGTATTTTTTTAAATAACGCGCAGGTTTCGTAAGAAAGGGGGCTTGTTCCATGAGAAACTGAGAATCTATGTCAGGCGTTTGAAAGAAAGAAACAAAGAGGAAGATACCTGGGCTGGAAATTGATAATCGCTCTCGTCGATTCTTCTAGGAATGCAAGGATGAGCAACTGACAGAAAGGTTATATATTTCTATATACACATGTATTCCACGGCAGTGAGTATAATGCACGTATATTTGGTGGAGCAGGTGCAATTGAATCCTTTGAATCTATTCGGTTTCTTGATCGTACGAACCTATTGGTTGCCCGCGAAATCTCTGCGGACTACATCTGGCGTCGCTTCCTTTTTCAGTTACGACAGATTCGAGTCACGAATTTTCAACCGTTTCTCATTCTTTTTTCTTCTTACTTCGGTACCACATAGCGAAGGACTCTGCTTCTTCTCTATACCGAGTGCAGTACGGTTTTCCCCCGTTATCGTCACGCTCCGTAAGGCTTCGTCAAACAATCGAGAATAATATCGCGACGCGTTCGAAATCCATTATTCAGCTTTATCCATTGTTACTTGAGTTTCGTGGCATTGAATTTCGCAGAGAACCTAACGAGGGAATATACCGAGCTACACGCGACGCCTAGCTTATCCTTTTCTATGCAGCGAGCAGACTTGTTCCATCAACTGTACGAATTACGAAGGTGGTCGAAGGTTTAGTTTTGTACGAATCGTATCGCAGGAATAAATCGGAGCTTCGTTTCGTCGCTGGGAACCGGGCCGCGCGCGCGGTTGTTTCTTCGATCGATCATCGAAAGCGCACCGCGATATTTAACGACTGCGCGAAAACGCGCGAGGCGCACGGGAGAAGCCGCGTGAAACCGACGATTTCACGGGTCGCTTGTAACTGGACGAATTGGGGCGAAACGAAGCTCGTCAACGAGAAACAGAGGACGGAAGAGGAAATCGCGTTCCCCGGTGAAGAGGAAAAGTGACAGAAATAAGTGAAACTAGGAACGTTCGTTCGCTGCCGAGACGAGTCCGGCGAACGAACCATTTCGCGTGTGTGGCTTCACAATTGATATGTACTCATAGTAATTTACCTTATAGTTATCGTAGAATTGCGGCGCAACGTTTCGATTAAGAGAAAACATTACACGATTTAGGGGTAGAGCTCCGACCAAGTCGCGGAGACTGGTCTCGTGGAGATTGTACATTGATAAGGTTAACTCATACTATAATGGCAACGACGAAACCGTGATGATAATTACGATTATATTACTCGAATATTAAAAGTACACGAGTGTGGAATCATGCGGGAGGGGAGGGGGGCGAATAGCTAGGCTATACTCGAGACTGTGCAACGGGCTTCGATGACAATCGTTTCGAGGAATTATTAGGAATTCTATTGTGAATCCAGATCGGGTCGGATCAGGTCGTGCTTGTACCTCCATCGTCGAGTGTGATTTATAATAAACTAGTCTCTTTTTAGGTCGATTCGATTCCAACATAAATCAGAGTTGGGAAATGCCTCGGAATGAAAAGTACGAAAGTAACTGCTGCCACTCGACGTCAGTTACATTCGATGAAATTAATTTCGTTTCTCGAGAGTCTCCGTCGAACGTTTTTCGGACGATATCGCCGGCGACGCGACGAGTTTCGCGTAAGAAAACGTTTTAGGAGGAACAATAATGTTTCTTAGCCGCTTCGAAAAGTTGGATTTCAGTGAAAAGTTTCGGTCTGTCGTGGAAACCGCCGTAAGTTTTCTAATGTTCGAGTTCACAAATTTCCCCGGAGCTTGTATCGTTTCTTTCTCCCCCATAGCGTTCGCGAAATTAACAAGTTTCGCGCAGCAGTTTCGCGAGAAAATGAATAAAATCGGACGGATGGGGTGATATGGACGCGAAACTCTTGCAGTTCGTTCCGCGGACCGGAACTCTCCCTTTTTCAACAAGAACGAACAAGAAATGGCTCTCTTCACGAACGTCGAATCTAATACGTTTTCCATGTATTCGATTGTAACGAATCCGTCTAACGGCAACGGTAGCAGTAACAGAAATCGATTTGTTTCATCAACTTTTCGGCTGCTTTTTCATTTCCGATAAATTCCCAGCAGGACAAACAGGTCTCGAACCGATATTATTTCAGCACACGTCATTCTCGCGCGAATTTGATTACTAATTTACACGTCTATGATATTTACACAATCAATTGTACCTGTGCGTAGACCGCACAGTCTAGATATAGACTGAATAAAAAGATGAGAAAATTCCCTTGTAACATTGTTCCTAAAAGTCCGAAGTTGTTAGTTGTTGGTCGAATGAAAAGTGAAGACATATTCTGTTAATTTGTGAGCCTTGAAAAATAAGATTACTAATAAAAGATTAATTCCACGAATAATTTCTCCATCTCGATTTCTCGAGGATCGTTGCGCATTTTTGTAGCCGGAAATTTTAACATTTTAAAGAATTTTCGTTCGTGTACGTATGCAGAAACACGTTTCCGTAGGCCGAACCGGGCATGCATACGTACACGATGACACGTGTACATAGTAGGTAGGTTAACAAATTAATTGTGTTTCTTATCGCGGAGAAGAACAGCCGAAAACAATGGAGAAGTCTCTGGTCGAAAATACCTCACCTTATCATCGTATATTTGGCCGATTCGCATCGTTTCGCGTACTCGAATGATCCGAACGATTCGAGTGGTTCGAATTGTTCGAATGATTCGAGGAACACGAGAAGAATACAAAAGAGATCGTGAAATGTTTGGTAGTCTGAAAAAGTTTCCAGCCTGGGATAACTTGTAGCAATGACGAGATAGGTGTTTTCCGTTTAATAGGAATATATATATTTCTGTTTGATTTCCTTTTGTACGCAGACTTCATTATTGATCGCGTTTCGACTTTTTCCTTACATCCTCCCTGTTGTAATTCCTTCGCCAAGCAACACTCTTCGGGATTTTCGTACGTCCGCTGGTTCTCTACTCCGAGAACTGATTACCGACGATTAGGATCTAACGATTAAGTAAACTCGGAGAAAGAAGAAAAGGAAAAAAAAGGAAAAAAAGTATATGCAATGTAATGTCGTTAATTATTAACTATTACAAATAGAATTCGGATGATATATCGATCGATCTATCAACTAACCAGAATTGGTCTTACGGTAATTATATTATTATAATATTTGGTAAACGTACGATAATGAATGATAATTACTAATTAGTAATCGTAAAAATGATAACCTATTTGTGATGTAATACTTGATGACTTGCACTAAGTTCGGGTCACAATGAAATTTATTGAGCGATGAATTCAAATAAAAGAAATATAATTGAAATTGAAAACAAATGCACAGACTACATTTATTGAATCTTTTTTCTTTTATGTTTACTCGACGACCAAACGAGGATAAAGAAAGAGAAAAAAAAGCAATACGGGAAAAAAGAAAAGAAGCAGAAGAAGAAGCGAGAGAAAGAACAAACGAACGAAAAAGCAGGAGAAAAAAAAGAACGAAAGAAAAGCAGATGAATTTTTGTGTGCTTTTTGTGTCTGACCTTTTTCAGTTTCTTCTTTATATATTTATATATTTATATATTTATCTTCCGTTTCCTCTCGATGTACGATGCCTTCTCGCTCTCTTAGTTGATGGAACTTGTGCGAATTGTACACTCAAACTGTATTATTACTATTTTTCTGTTTTTTCTCTTTTTTCTCTTTTTTTCTTTGTTTCCTCTGTTTTCTCTGTTTTGTTTGTTCGTTTCGATACAGTTGTAACGCTTTCCTCTTCGAAGAAATACGAACGTTTCCGTGGCACATACTCCGCTTGCAACAGAAAAGAAATAGTTTCTGCGTAAAGTGATGTTTCCTTTGTTACCGTTTCTTTGCCTCTTAGTTCTCTGATTGAATTTCTTCAATTTTTTTCTTGTTTTCCTTCGATCGCCGATTTACCGTGCTAAAATACCAACGCCACCGGTCAGGTAACTCGAACAGAGCCGAGAAACTTTCCGCTAGCTCTCTCTCTCTCTCTCTCTCTCTATCTCTCTCTCTCTCTCTCTTTCTCTTTCTCTCTCTCTCTCTCTATTAACGATATTTCTGCGTTGAACGACGAACAAGAACCGTGTCACGCCCATCTCACTCTGTCTCTCAACTGAATCCCGTCTGGATATCTCGATGCTCCTCACAATCTCCAACCCTTTCATCCACGAGGAATCAAAAAGAAAAGAAAAGGAAAGAAAATAATTTACATATCTCCCTCAGGACGTTACTTCATTGATGGTTTTCAAATTAATTGCCTGCTGCCTGTTTACATATAATATGTCATTAATATTCGATATAAACATGTTTGCATTTTGCTACTTAGATATCTTATCATTAATCATTTCCACCCCTTGATTGGACGAGACCGCCTCAGTGGTAGAACAGCCTACGGTACTACTAATCGAGAGAGAGACGATACGAATGTCTCTTCAGCGCGACATTCTTCGCCACGCAGCGACGCTTGCTCAATCAAGGAGGAAGCAGAAGCGGTAGAAAGTCGAACAATCACGTATAAATATATGTATAGGCGAATATACATATAGGTATACACGTATACATATACATATACATGAATATATATCCTATAATCATCAGTAGTGTCATGAGCATAGTGACTGGAACGTAGTGATGTCCATTAATATTATTTTTTCTCTTTCAAACTATTCGCATCGGTGTTAACCAACTCTTTTACGCCACTAGCACACTAGCGAACGACTTACCGAAACGTTCTTTACTGTACATACTACACATACATCGTATAGTGTCCGTGAGGTTTCTTTTTCACAGGCCGGCACTTCAAACTAGAGGTCCCCCTTTATACTGTTTCTTAATCTGTTCGATACAGTGGTGTTTTCCTATTAGTCCGTTGCACGCGAGAAACTGCCGAGTCGCCGTTATTCGGAATTCTGGAGAATAAACGAAAGGAAAACGAACGGACTAATCTCTGACACCGGACTAGTCGATCGACACTACTGTTCGTTTCTTTTCTTTCGAATCTCAACCGGTTCTCGTATCTTCTCCCCTGTTCGTTTACTTGTTTGTTACTTAGTTTGCCATCGATCCACCTTCTCGACAACAAAATTCGTTCTTTCTTCCGTAGCAGTACATGCAAAACATTTTTACTCTGTTGTTGGCTAGCCCGCTGCTGGCGCCGCAGTGCTTTCCCAGCCGATCGGTTTTCATTTCGAACAAACTCAATCTGTTTAGCACACTTTTCGAGTATTTCTTTCTTTCGTTCTTTCTTTCCGTTTTCCTTTCTCTCCTTTTTGCTTGAACTCGATCGTAACGCTGGGAAAGTATTGGTCGTACAGGCGTAACTTGGCAACGTAATTGCACAACGCTAATGCTCTTTACAGCTTTCGTAATTTTCTCCGTGTTGATACATATATACGTATAAAGATGCATACACTTGACGAGAGAAACGTAGGCGTGTCTGTACGTATATATTTATTTGTACGTATATACGCGTCTCTGTACGTCTTCGAGAGTATAGTTCCGACTGTTTCTACGTATATATGTACAAACACCTATACATATATATACACGTATACTTGTGTCTAATTTTTTCAGCGCCAGATTTATATATTTATATATTCGTTGTTATTTTTTCTGTTTTTTGCCGAAAGAAAACACTTGTTTACTAATTCTATTAATTCTTAGACGTGATCTGCGACTTATTGTGTTTACTTTTACAGCTAGGAGGAGGTGCTTTTAAATTATGTATACGATCGCATGCTGAGTTTTTGACATTTTATATGCATTCATCCGCAAATACGTATGTATACATATATGTATTATCCGATACAGACAGTGCACGCCTATATATCTATATACATACACATGCATAGACATATATATATATACGTGTGTACGTATGTATGTATGTATTCGTACACACACGTAAGGACACAAGATTGCAACACGTACACAGGTACACGCGACACGCACGCTTACACTCGCACTTACACAGAATACTATCGCCAGCCGACACAACACACAGAAAGACACAGAAAGTACACGAACAGCGACAGGACAATGTAATTACTTTTCCTCTTCGTACTATGTTACTTTGAATTTTACGTGTGTGCTTCAGCGGGCAGAATGTACCTTTTAACTTACTTTACTTTTTGTCTCGTATCTTTGCTAATACAACGCTGGGTAACATATCCTAAACGATCTGGCGGAAAACGACGCGCATCAAGCGTGTACGACGATGCGCGTGCCGTTCACCACCGGGGCAAGTATTTTCGCCGGTGCGAACAGCTCCACCTAAATACCTGTGTCCGTTTCGATCCATTAGAGTACCGAATGGTGTAGAACCTGAGCGTACGCGAGCACACATCAGAGAACACACATATGCGCACACACGGCGGCGACAACGCATCGGTGAGTGTGTATGCGGACGATTTTCGATTCGAAGCCGCGTGTTTCCAGTTTCTTTCTCGACGCATCTCTTTAGCGTGAAGATCTTCCATGACGCGGACCAACTAGTTTTCTCAACCGAACCGTTCGCTGAACGCTGTTCGCGCTCCGTTTCCGATCGGCGGCCATCGGTGCGGCGGACGCTGCCAGGGACAGGAGACGGAGCGCTTTCGGTTAGGTCGAAGAAACAATTCGGATTTCAATTCTAATTCGCACGATACGCCCAACATTTCCTTGTTCGTCCCTGAAAACGAAAATGGATCGCATCCATTCGGAAAGTTCCTTGAAGCCTCTATTGGAAACGGATATTCTCCCCTATAGAAACCGCAATTAATCTTCGCATAAGCGTAGTTTTCCGCTTTCTCCGTTTGTGAAAATCAACGACAAAGTGGGAACAGACACGCGGTGAATCTGGAACCGCAAGTATTTCTCGCTGAAAGTATATTTCGAAGAGATCATTCGTCGTGTCCGTTCTCTTTTTCTTTCTACCGTTTTCTCCTGCAGCTCGCCCCGACCACACGCACTCTGTTTCTCCCTCTGTTTCCCGAACGTGTCTGCACTGTACACATTTCTCCGTATCTCTTCGTGTCTCAATCTCCGTGTACGATCCGTGCATCGCCTGTGTGTGACTAAACATGTATGTACCTGTGGTCGCGTGCGCGTGTGTGCGCGTGTGTGCGTGCCTGTGCGTGCGTGTAGGTATGCGTGCATTTTGTTAAATGTTCGATTCCCGTGCGCGCGTTTCTAACGAGTTTTCGGGCTTTCGGCGAAAGCGCGCGCGCTCCCGGCCGAGGAGGTCGAGAGATCGCGTGCCCACGAGAGTGTTCACGCGTCTCAACGGAAATAGAACGGTATATGGACGAAAAGAAAATGAATATGAATGGAAAAGCAAGCAAGTAAGGAGAGAAAACGGAAGAGAAGTGAGCACTGTCGGCCCGTTTTGCGCATGCTACACTCGCTCGCTTGGCTGTCTCACCCTCCTAACACACAATCGCCACCGGCAGTTCAGCTTGCTAGGACAACCTTGCCAAATTGATCCACGCTTGATTTTCTGTGTACGCTTCACTGCAACACACACGGAAGACTCGAATGCGTCTTCCGAATTCCACGATTCACGATGCACAGAGGGGAACGCGCGACCTAACCTTCCTAAAAGTTCAACGTTATTCCGAACAGACGGTTCGTTGTTTCACCTATGTTACGATTCGAGTATAGATTCGCGTCAAAGTTGCTAATTTCTAATTCCATCGTTCTCCGCACGGATACGTTAATCGTATCGACGGTGCAACGTACGCGATTCTCTCGATAGGCTGGCGTACTCGAATTCCTTCGTTTAGAACCGATACGCTTTTCGGGATGCCTGTGCATCGTGACGGAAAAGAAACAGCCGAAAATAGTAAGTGATGCATGCCTGAAAAATCCTCTAACACTTGTGCGAATTAACCCAATTGATAGAACATTGAGAGGATGCCCTCTGTCGCGGCGTCCGTTGAACAACTCCCCCATTTCCGCCCCTTTTGTTTCACCTATAAAATAGCCGTCCGATACTCCGTGTCCTCTGACCTTATTGGGCGGGGCGAAGGTACACCGAAACCAGCGAGCGACGCCTATTTGACAGAACACGGTATTTAGATCCACCTAGTAGAGTAGTGATTAGATGTGCTCTTCTTTTCTGGGCGTTGATATGGCCCAATCTTTGACATTCTCGCAACCTAGTTACGATCGCGCGACTCGATCTCGATCTCGAGCTTCGCGAGTTCCGAATATTTCAATGTATCCCGATCGATCCGACATGGAATTTTCATGAAAATTATACGAATGCTCGAAGCGCGAGAGAAGTGTGTCAAAATAAATCTTTCAGACGATGTCAGCAGATCGGGGTGTCGTATTAACGGCCAGAAGGAACAGATGACGACTGAAACAAAGTCAGGCTGGCTGTTCATACTTCGAAAACAGACCCGACTTCCAGAAATGGGGCGCTCTTTTGTATCATTCGATCCTCCCACTACTCTGTACATTAGTCTTTCTCTCTTTCTCTTTCTCTTCTCTCTCT